TTAGTAAAGATATAAGCCACTGCTGTGCATGCACAGAACAAAAATGTCCTCCAAATTTTGACCTCAGTTTGATCATCAAAGAAACATGACCCCCCCCCTCCATCATGGAATATACAAGACACACAAGGTGCTGTTGAGAAAGGGTTTCAAAAGCCTCCAGTGATCTAGATGTCTCTTAAGTATGCCATCCCCTTCTATCCCTCCTTCCTTGTCCCTTCTCCTGAGATAGTGCCACCAGCATGCTAACCTTGCCTCAGTCGTCTTCCCATGGAAAGAAACATCAAAGACAATGTTGTTTTGTGTGCTCCATTTTGTAAAGATGGTTGTAAATGTAACATTTGAGCATTCCACAAGAACTTTCCATTTAAAAATAAAGCCACCATGTATCCTGGTTGATGAGTTAAAGAGCTTTCTGGTTGTAGGTGGCAAGAAAACTTCCCTGAAACAGAGAAAATGGCTCTTTTCAGTTTCCTGTGGAGCCTCTCTTTGACATTATGGCCTGACTCTTTCGTTCTCTATTTTCACTTTGCATGTCCTTTGCATTTCAAATACTATAAATTGGATGCATGGAGAACCTAGAACTGAAAAGACAAAATACAGTTGCCAGTGTATTCATTTACTTTTTAGCAATAAAGTATTTTAAATCCTTTGTTCCTAATGCCTAACAAGGTCCAGTAGAAAAGCTGCTACTTTGTCATAAAAAAGATTGTAAAATTTTGCTCTGGATTGTCTGGATGTTAGAACTCTTGACTGTTTAACACTTGAATTTTTTTAATACTATAAATAAAAGTAAGAAATGGCTAAAATGATTATAAAATCAATTTTATATTTGGTGTTGAGAGAGGAGATAGAATGGGGGGAAACCTCAAATTATTCATGTTACTGGGAATCTCACTTTGGATGCCTGATTTTTTAAAGTTAAAATGATTATCTGATTAACCCAACTGAGTCCAGACCCATCAATAAATATTGAAGTGTAGATAATTCTATGCCTTCCAGATGTTTTAGATCACAACTCCACAAATTCCCAACCAGCATGTTAAATATTTGGAGATTTTCCGTCCAAAACACCTGGAAAGCTCCAGGTTGCCTACCTTTGAATAAGTCATTTTGAAATATGTAATGTCAGAACACTTTGTCGCACAGGAGCATAAATTTGCACTTTCATAAATGTTGCAATCCTATGCAAATTTACTTGTGAGTAAACTCTGCTTGATGGATGGGTTGACTTCTAAATAAACATGCATATGATTGGGTTGTTTATTTAAATGTTAGTGTTTTTATTCAAATTCGTGAGATTCCTTTAGTGTTCTTCATTTAGTATTTCATTATCCAAAATAATCTGCAAATCGTGATACATTATATATTAGTGGAAAAAAATGAAAACTTCTGGATCCAATACAGTGAATCTCAATTTTTTTCCCATTCCCTGTTTACATCGTCAATCTATTGAATGAGACACTTATCCATAAGAGAATGTGCCTTATACTCTAAACATAAAGATTCATTCCATTAAGGAGTGTATGTGAAGTGGTATTCTTACATAAGAATAATCTTCCATGTCCCTTTTCTAACTGTTCATTAATCCCAGCAAAAGCAGTTCTAGTTTCAACATTAGCTTTTAAAATTCTTTGTATTATTGTATACATGCGCATACAAATACCCATGTGTACATTTGAACCAGTGGTGGGTTTCAAAAACTGTTCGAACCTACTCTGTGGGTGTGGCCTCCTTTGTGGGAGTGGCTTGCTGCCCATGTGACCGGATGGGAGTGGCNACATTATTAAAATGCCACCCAATTTATTGTGGCACCTGTTTTTATGTATAGGAATTAATTTCATCAGAATCATATCAGTGCAACGGAATATGGTACTTGCACATAATTGTTTTGGAAGGGGAAGGGAGAAGGGAAAAGGAAGAATAATTTTTAAAAAAGGATTAGAAAGAGAATGCTGTCTGGTACATCATTAACTCAGGCACACTCACTTTCCCCATAAGTTGGTTCACACATGGATAAAGGAACTGTACCTATGTTTTTTGCCTCCAAAGAGGACAAGGATTAAGTTTACTTGTGAATTCTAACTGAGTTCAAGTTCTTGTATCAGAGTTCAGGATTTCCACCAGGAGTTACACAACAGTGCAGGGACACTTAAGTATAAAGTGTCCTTCCTGGCTAGATCTCACCAGATTTTTCCATCCTCCCTCCCTCATTTCATCCATGTTACTTTTGCCTTTGTACAGTACTAAGAATTAATTGCAACAACATCACAAGTGATGATGTCCAACAAAGTCTTTTGATTAGCAAAATCAGCTCTTGAACATTTGGTCAGCTCAGTTGGAAAAAAATGATAAAGCAACATATAGATTTGAAACCAGAAGTATTTTTCTTGGGCATCCTACTGGAAAAAATATAATAAAAGGAATACCTACTTAATCTTACACATGCTAACTGCAGCTAGAATTGTATTTGCGCAGCAATGGAAAAGTAATGATATCCATACATAGGAAAAATATTAGAAGGTGCAGAAATGGCTAGATTAACACTTAATATCAAAGAAAAGGAAGAAACTGAATATTTATCTAACAGAAAACTTATTTCATCAATGGCTAGACAATAAAAACAGAAAGAAATATAGAAATATAAGAGAAGGATTAATTAAACAAGTAGGGTTTATTATATGGGATAAACAAATATTACTATTATGTGATCAGCATCAATGTTATGAACGATTATTTGTTATCATGGTTATTTCTCAAAAATGATTGTACTCAGACAACGCACTGGTTACATAAAAGTGGATTTTTTTCATTTTAGTAAAAAAAAATTAAAACTTTAAAAAACAAACCAAAACATTTGGTCAGCTCCAAACAGGAGGCAAGATTTCTAAATGGCCACACCCAAGCTCTTAACCAAACGATTAGTAAGATAGTTCTCATGCAGTATCAAATGTCTGGAAACCTTAATTTAATCTACCGATGTAGTAGCATAGTTTCATAATGGTATACTCTTCTAGACTTAAAGGTCTCAGCCACCCACAATCATTCCCATTACGTTTATGATTTCCTGTTGTGGTTTGCCAGTCCTCTGGTATTCTGCCGCACAACCTGCTTATTTATTTATTTATTCTTTTTGAACAAGGCCTCTGACACTTGCCCCAAAGCCTACCTTTGCAACGAATAGGAACTGACCTTTACAAACAGCTCAATCTCGGGGTCCTTTAGGGGATTACGAAGCCAACTCGCCATCCTGTCTTTAGCTGGCCACCAACTGTTGCTGAGAACTTCCTTCCCACCACGGACTGTTTGTCACCAGGCTTCCCCACCGATGCGCTGGGTAATTTTTCAGGGCAGGGACTTTCTAAGGAAGACGATGACATTTCATGCCTGAAACTCCCTTGGTTGGAAGTGGCTGCCCTGCCTCAGCCAGAAGTCGTGAGGTGGTGTGCCGAGCAATTTGCTACCAGCCGGACGGGGATCTCTGTAAAGACCTCCCAGCCATGAGTCAGCAACACGGTTTATCAGAAAGCCACAACACCACGTTCTTCTCCGTGATATCAAAAGAGCCAGATGTCTATTTCTCAGAGAAGCGACCCAGAATAAGTCCTTCGCTGGAGCGCCACTCCGCAGCTGCCAGAATTTCTATAACAGGAAGTGAGCCGGGAAGCATCTCGTACCTCAGTAGATAGAGAGGTCACTCACTTCATACATTTCTGTCATATGAGAATTACTCCACCCAAGAACATCCTTAATTTTATTTACAAAGTCATTTCCCATACGATGTTTTTACATAGATAAATGGCCCCATCCATGAATCAAAGGAACAGTGTAACAACTTTGGGGCGATGCTGGACTTTACAGGAATGAAAATGTGATTTTGGGATAGAGACCTCTGTGGAGGTGAGCAGCTAAACAATCCCACTTCCCAACCAGTTCTAGTCACGCTCCAGAATGCTCTCTAGAAAGAGAGACCGTTGCGCTAGAAGAGGTGTAATCAGAGGTGGCATTCAACAGGTTCTGGAGAACCGGTAGCGGGAATTTTGAGTAGTTCGGAGAAACGG